GCTGCAGGCGGCCTGGGAAGCGGGAGAGCGTCGGTGTGCGGGAGCGGTGAGGGGCCGCGCCCCAGTCCCGGGCGTGGCGGAGACCCTGAGCCCCTGCACCCCCCGGGGCCAGTGTCGGGCCAGCATGGGCGCCAACGCCTCCTCGGCCGGCGTGGATGCCAACGCCTCCTCGGCCGCCCCCGCGCTGGGGGGTGGCAGCGCGTGGAGGGGCCGGGAACCCTTCTCCATCTTCACCATCCTCATCCTGACCCTGCTGGTGCTCCTGACCGTGGCCACCTTCCTCTGGAACCTGCTGGTGCTGGCAACCATCCTGCGAGTGAAGGCTTTCCACCGGGTGCCCCACAACCTCGTGGCCTCCACGGCGGTGTCGGACGTGCTGGTGGCGGCCCTGGTGATGCCGCTGAGCTTGGTGAAGGAGCTGTCGGCCGGGCGGCGGTGGCGGCTGGGCCGGGAGCTGTGCCTCGTGTGGGTCTGCTTCGACGTGCTGTGCTGCACGGCCAGCATCTGGAACGTGACCGCCATCGCCCTGGACCGCTACTGGTCCATCACCCGCCACCTGGAGTACACGCTGCTCACCCGCCGCCGCATCTCCAACGTCATGATCGCTCTCACCTGGGCGCTCTCCGCCACCATCTCCCTCGCCCCCCTCTTCGGCTGGGGGGAGACCTATAGCCCCGAGCAGGAGCGCTGCCAGGTCAGCCAGGAGCCTTCCTACACCATCGTCTCCACTGGCGGGGCTTTCTACCTGCCCCTCTGCGTGGTGCTCTTCGTCTACTGGAAGATCTACAAGGCGGCCAAGTTCCGCATGGGGGGCCGCAGGAGGAACGCCGTGGTGCCCCTGCCCGAGGCTCCCCAGGTAAGGAGAACCCCCACTGCCTCCCCCAGGCACCTGCGCTCCCGCTCCTTGTCTGCTCCTAGCCATCACCCCTGCGCCGGTGGTTTCAGCACAGCGAGAAGATTGAGTTGTGCCCTTGGGCTCTCGTGAGAATTTAGCTCTCTTACAGCCTGGCTGGGAGTGGTAATTAGCCAGTCCAAAAGCACCACTCTTGGAGAAGAGTTTTATTCACATTTGTTTCTTAAGTGTGCCATAAGAGCAAGTGACAGGTGCATTCACTGAAGTCTGGAGAGCCATTAAAAAATGTCTCTTTGGTCTGAACTTGCCATTCCTTGGGGTTGTTTCCTCTTTATTTTTTTTTTCCGTGTTGATGGGGTAAACAGACAGAAGCAGATCCCTAGGTCATGTACAGAGTAAATGCATGCACACTTACCTACCAGCACGGACTTTGTGTGGAATCTGTCAGTGTCTAAATTGATTTTAATAAGCAAATTATACACTTTATTTATGTGCTTGGGCTATTTTACCTTGACCTTACTGGGAACATACTGCTCACTGCATAGTACTGAAGCAATGAGCAATTAATTGTTTCTCTTTTAAAATTTCCAGCTGTCTTAAAAACCACATCCTCCTCCTTCTTACCCCAAACATTGCCTGTAATCCTGCAAAGCTCTAGTCATGTGGGAGCTCTTGTTCATTTTGGGGGTACACCTAGCTGACAGGAAAACTGTGTCCCTGCAGATGGGTTGGGGTTGGCCCCTCGTGTCCCATAAAGTCAGTCTCTGCATAACGATGCTGTCACCCATGCCATGTCGCCAGGGTGCTTGGTAAGTGCTCTCTGTAAACTCTCTCCACTTTCTGTCACATACTCTTACTCTCACTCCTACCTGTGGAAATGATTCATTGTTGTGATTGCATGTTGTACTTGGTGAAGTCCAGTCCTTCCCCAATAACAAAAGATGAGCTGTGTGGATGTTAGAGATGCCTGACATGGAACATTTCTGTTCAACTGGGGCTAATCCTGCAGAGCCTCACTCCTCTGCTAAATCCCTCTAACTTTGGAGTCACAGTAGCAAACACATTATTATGGTCACAGATAGGTTGTGTCCCCTGATTCTAGGAAGAGGTGACAGCACTGGCAATTATATGCAGTCAGACTTGCAGGTTTGTATCATAATGTCTTGTAGATGTTTTTAATATCAATTGATTTAGGAAGCTGTCTTCTATGCAAAAGCATAGAATGTGTGAGGAAAGATGAGAATGTTTTCTCTATTGGCATCCTTGTTTTTTTTCTCCTATGGTCTTAATCCCTGGTTTGCACCAAATTTCTTTACAAGTTGTAAGTATGATGAATGTGTTGCTGGGAGTTAATGTATAATCATTCCAAGCACAAAAGCTAACAATATTTGTAGTGGGTTTGCATGCTTTATCTTTTACATACACACATACTCATACAGGACTAGTTGTTTGAAATCTAAAATTCTGGGATGCTAAATGAGCTGAGGCATTGCTGCTTAAGTTTTAAACTATACAGAGACACACTGTTGATATGTCACTTTTAACATGAAGAAAGTCTGGCTCCTAATTGTCACAGTTCTGTCTGCAAAAGCCCTTGCGTGGGCACAGCTAGGCTGGCAGGTGAGTGCTTTTTGCTGATGCAGTGTCTGGGAGCTGGTCTAGGCTATACTGACAAAAGAGCTCCTGTCAGTGTGAGCTGAATATCCATTCTGGAGGGGTTGCCAGTATAGCTGTTACTGGAATAGCAGCAAATCCTCGAGCCAGCAGTTCTTCATCTTTCTTATATTTGCAGTGATTGACATATTGCCTTCTTTTATAACAGTGATTCTTGAATCTGCAATTGATATGTAGTGGCAACCATTGTCCCAGCAGCTTTGTTTGCTGGCTTAAATGAAGAGACTTTTGTGATGCACATGCAAACCTTTCCTCATCATCTAAAGGAGCCAGTGCCCAGCTGCACACGACTGTGTTAAATGAACCTGTGGATCAAGGAAGCTGGCATTTGGGATGCACTTCTCCTTAGTTTTCTTTCTAAGAAGAGACTGAGACTTACTCATAGTTTTAGCCTGATCTCATTTAGGCTTATAAGAGTAATACCTCTAACCAGTATAAACCATGACAAAGATCCATCATGTCCCCAGGAATAGTAGCAGTTCCCCAGTGACTTCTAGAGAAGAATCTTCAAACACATCATTACTGTCCTTTAGCAAAAACTTTTTTTTTTTTCTTTAACATGCAAACACAAAGATAACATTACCATGGTATGTAGCAAACCTAGTGAGGTGATCCAGCTTTGCTTCTCCATATCCAGGGGTAATTAGGGTGTCATTGTTATCAGTGTCCTCTCTGATGGGGCAAATTCTGTTCCACTTACCTTGTTTTGCTCATCTACTCGCTCTAATTTTCCATTTCTTTCTCATCTAATTTCTCTCCTACCTTTCTTTCATTCCTTCCTTCTCTGAGAATGCCCACCTGTCAGTCTCACCCTTGCAACATTTTTCTTTTGTCACTGTTACTCTGGGTGTGAAGTGCATCTCTGTCAGTTCTCACCGCAGGTGCCCTGCACCAGTTGTTCTGAGTAACGTTAGAGGGGCTTTTGGCAGCTGATGCCAAAGGCTGGCAGTGCTTCCCAGGCTGGAGGTGGGTGGTCACAGCAGTGATCCCTGCTGGGAGAGACATCTGTGTTGTGCTCAGGAATTAGCTGTCAGGTAGCGCTGGATTGGAACTGTGTGCCAGGGCTGCAGTTATAGCCTGAGGTATACCCAGCGGTGCAGCTGGTTAATTCTAGCAAGTTAATTTAAGGGGGGAAAGATTTGAGGTCATAGTACTCATATGCCAGTAGAAATGCCTTGAACAAACCGATCCACCAAGTGGAACAATTATGATGGTACCTTGATTTTTTTGTACAGTGCTTTTCAGCCAATAGAGTCAGGCACCAAAGTGCTTTGCAGGTTGCCACTGCGTGTATATATATGTATACACATACGCACTGAGTATATATATATGTGTGTGTGTATATATATACACAGAGAAAGGGCATTGTCTCCAAGCTGAGAGTTAGCATACATATGTTATGTATTACAAAGATGCAGAATAGAGTCATTTTTGGTTAGAATTTTACTTGTGTTTTTTAAAAACACTTTTTAAATTGTTCAGGTGAGGGTGATGGACATGAAATATCTGAGGTGCTTTTAGTTTTAATAAGAGCTTGTTTCTTACTTACCCTTGAAACCAAAAAAAATGCAGATTTGGGACCCTAAATTAGGCTGGTGCTTTTATAATTATTTGTTTCCTAATTATGAAACTCCTTAAGAAGTGAATTCTCCAGTCAATACTGATGTGAGTGGCCCTTGTAAAAAACCTAGTGATATACCATCACTGACAGAGAGCTAGACTCTGTCACACTGTGTTGACAATAAATAATAGTTCTCTCTGTAAATAATCCAATTGAAATACATGAGGCTGCTTGGAAAATGGCAGATACTGCTGGTAGTGCCCTTCTAAATCAATGAGTCACCTGTAGCATAGGCTTTGCCCAGCAAAACCAAGCATGGCAGAATCTGAATGTCAGGATTATTTACATGTAGCAATTGCAGAGTTGGGATTAAATTTCCATCTAAGGAGTTAAAAATCAAGTTCTGTTGATGGTTAGGAGTTTGGTTTGGTTCGGGGTTTTTTGTCCTTCTCCCCTCTCAAAGTACCTTGTATAGTGTATGAGTAATTAGGTCTGATACAAACCTTACCAGTTTTGTGAGAGTCCATCCCACTTTAGGTAGTGTCAGGTCCTGGAGCTCCAACAATGCAGTGTTGTTCTGCACCTTGGCCTGCTCAGCCTCTCCAACCCAGGTAGCCAGTCAGGACAATATGGGAGAGAAAACAGATTCTCCTTCTCTGAAGGAGACACAGGCTTTTTATTTCTTATTTCTGTCTCTGACTCTACAAGTAGAAGAGATGGGTCAGGAAGCAAAGTGCAACTGTCTGAAAGAGTGGCAGCAGGTGACAGATAGGAGAAAAGTGAGGCGGGAAACAAAGCGGAGTGGCTAGTGATTTCCTGGGAGAAATGCAGAGCTATTCCTGCTCACAGCAGAAGAAAATCCTGTGAGAGAAAGCAGCTGTTCTTTTCCCTATCAAATGTACTCTTTGTCATACTGGTGGAGTATCCCAGAAAGTGTAGACATTCCTATGTTCTGATCCTTCATTGTGCTTTTCAGTTTCTTATGTTCTTGTTCAAAGAGCAAGGAGTATGCCATATCTGCACTGAGGCAGTAATGATCTGTGCTGAACCATACAACAAAACTCTGAATTTGTGGTAGTAAGCCAGATCTGATTAATATTTATCATCTTTACTGTTGCTTTGTTATTGCAGACCCTGGAGGTACAGTACAAACACATACACAGTACCTGCCATGAAGGACCAGTAATAACAATCATTAAAACTATAAGGAACATTTTAAATAAAGTGATTTCATCAGAAGCTCCTTGTTGGTTTGGGTTTTATAACGCTGCTAGGAGCACAGGAATTGGGAACATACAGCTCTAAGAACATACAGCCATTCAGTAGAGTTTAGTGGGGACAGAAAAACAGAAGTAGCATTGAACTGTAACTGCTGATCGAGAAGATCAGAAGAATGAATTCTGAAACTAAAACCAAACTCTTTTGTGTCTGTAGAAGAATTTGTGCTAGGGAGCTCTTTTACTTTGTTTAACTCTCTTTATAATCTTCTTTGGAAAGCAGTCATGTCTGTACTTCTCAGAGCCCGTTGTCCTGGAAATAGCTGATTTCACGAATTCAGAACTTAATTCTGGCCTCAGAGTAGCAGTCCTTTGATACCAGCTTTTTTCGTCACTGCTCCTAACGTGCAGGTCCTGGAGCAGAGCCTGGGTGAAGGGAAGGAAATCTGTGCCCAGGGTGTAGTGTGCTGCTAGCCACCGCGTGAGACAGTGTGCAGAGATGCTCACATATGAGAGGTGTTCCCAGTATAAACTAAGACATCTTCATGGATTGCTTTAATTTACAGTCTGTGACCACTTTTTTTTCCCATCACAGCCTGCTCACTAGAGCTCACCAGTAGGCCTAAAATGAGAGGAAAGGTTTTATACTGGGTTTTTGTTTCACGTGGTGCAGGGATAACAGTCAGGTGTTGTGATTTACATTAGAAATCAGTCATGCAAAGCTTCCAGGATTGGCACCAAAAACTGCAGATTTGGTATAGTCAGAGCTATGTTTAGTTAAAGAAAATCACAACTGGCAAGGCTGGAAAGCAGCTACATAATCATTTTGGCCTGTGCTCTTCTTCAGACAGTGCCAAATTACAGTGGATTACCCCATGCCTGCATGAGGGGGAATCCTTTAGCGTGGTTCCCCTGCCAGCACTGTGTACCACAACAGCGTGTGGTACTACTTTGTGTGGGTTGACATATAACAAACAGCCTTGACAACGTAGTCTTGGGGGCTGGTAGTTGTAGCAAGGATAATCTGGCACCAGCCAGGCCAGGGAGATGTGAGTCAGGTCTGCAGCAAATCATAGAGAGAGCAACAGAAATCAAAAAGTTTGAAATTATAATGAAAAGTTGGACTTTCCCAGCTTTGCAATCTGTACTGATACATATTTTCTGATATGAATGGCACTTCAGATTAAATCCGTGTTTAACTTTAAAAATCTAGTGGGCTTGTCCCCTCATGAATCAGTCCCCCCAGCGGGGATGGGGTGCTGGCGGTCCTGTAGTAGGTGTATGTGGTGGCCAGGCAGGGAGGGAGCACAACGCCGAAAGCTGACGCACGCGCAGGGGCGCTGAGCGCAGAGGTGTGAAGCACAGGGCCTTGCTAGAAACCCTCTGTAAAGTCTGGTCCCCTCTGCAGCAGTGGGAGCCGGGAGCAGCTGGCCGCTGGCTCACAGGTGTGCCAAGTGGCAGCGCTGGGGCCGGGGCTGTCACCTGGAAGGGTGCCCATGCCGGGAGTGCCCAGGAGGCGGGTGTGTGAGAGCCAGCTGAGCCAGTGTCGCGCACAGCCTGTGCGGCTGGTCAGCTGGAACCCGTCTATGAGGTGAGCATCGGACACTGATGACCACAGAAAGCTGAGCTTTCATCCAGCTGCCAAGGTTTAAATGCTTTGGGAAGTCCTGCTGAAGGAACAGGCTGAAGGACCTTGCTGAGCAGGGGTACTAGTTACCTTTTCAACAACATTTTGTGTATCCTTTCCAAAGGATTTCTTATGGAAAATTGAAGCAAAATATCTCCATTCTGCCAGGGATATTTACACAGTTTACTTAATGGAAGGTTCCATGAGAGATCCCATTATTTTTTCTAAAGCGCCAGGCTGCTATTTGCACTTTTATTGTTATTACAATATTATACAGAAGTCCTGGGCAGAACTAGTCAAAAAATAATTGAAAAAACACAGGGAACAAAAGAGAAAGTAGAAATTTTGTAGCTAGGAAGACAACTGCTGTCCTGTAGTTTACAAAAAATACCATGATCTATTTTCACTTGCTGTTTAGTATTCAGAGGCCTGATCTAACAACCACTGGAGTTCGTGGAAACTCCTCTGATTTCAGCAGGAGCTTGACCAGGCTGTAAATGCATGCTTCATTAGGGAAAACACCTGAGGACTGTGGTATCTTCTATCTAAATAAATTAAATAACTTCTTCTCACAATAGGAAATGAAGTGATAAAAGAGTCGCTACTAGTAAGTTCTGCAGTTCAGTCACAAACCTAAAACCTGAAGTACTGAAAAGGCTCTGATTTGGTGATGGCACGCTGGAAGCTCTGTGTTTTGAGTAAGAGTTGAAGGTTAAATACAGTACCCAACTATGCCCGGTGCTAGTGACAGAGTCCTTTGTATGGCTCTTCCCAAGAGGCATACTTATGTAGCTGTTCCTCAGGGCTAAGACGTAATCTTTCAGGGTTGCTTGTCACAAATTTGTCCTTATGTCATACATTCATTCCTTTTTGCAGAGTGTGATTAAGGATGTGCAGAGTAAGTCCTTCTGCAGACAAATGGTGTGATCCTTGCTATGTGAGGGGTGTCCCATTTTAATTGTCAGGACAGATGTGATTTTCATTTTCTTCCATTATTTGCCTGTGCCCATAATCTGCTGCTCTTCCATTCTGCAGCCATGTCTGGTGTCTGAGGGTGAAGACAGGGATATCCATCTTGAAGAGTGATTGTCTGGCCATTGCCAGTGCTTCCTTCTCTGAGTTGCTGTGCTCATATTGAATAGAGGCCCTCCATCTGTTACAAAGCTTGCACAAAGGTGCCACACGTATGTGGAATATGTAGCTAATTCAACAACAAGCCATCTTTGGAGTGGTGTCAAAGTCTTGCAGGCCTGTGAATTATTGCTTAGGCAAATTTTAGAGTCTCAGGTGGCATCCTCAAACTGTTTATTTTATTCCACTCTCTTCATAGCTGTAGTGCCTAGAAGAACTTTACACTCACTTTAATCTTCCAATTAAAATTGCAAGGGAGTATCTTTTTCTGATTAGGCTCTAAGCACATTAATAACCTGTGCCCAGAACCTGTTTACCACAGTCCCGCTGCCACCCAGAGCACTGTGCTGTTCTCACTGCACAGATGAATGTCTTGCCCTCAGCGAGAGAGGAGACAAGAAGCACCGTCTTGCCTGGAGCAGCTGACATTTTCCCCTCTCTTGTGTAACTACTGCTGAAGCTAGAGTTTGAACTGAGGGCTGATTCAAATGGTGTTTTGCTGGCAATGGAGTACTTTTTGTGAGAACAAGTAAATCTGACTGAAATAAGGGACAGGTGACAGAAGAGAGAAAGTGAGGACGAGGAAATGCTGCTTCTCCAGCAAAGCTTTTCTTTGATTATTACCAGAGTATTTCATAAGCTAATTCAGAATGGTGGCACAGTGCCTGAGGGTACATCATTCAGGTGTGTCCTTATGTGCCCATTGTCATATAGTGTGTTGGCACTGTGACCAGGCTGCAGCTGCTGTGATACACAACTCAGTCCCTCTCCAGCAGGGAGAAGTGCCTGTGGTGAGATTGCTTCTCCTTGTCAGAGACTGAAGGCACCTGAATTCTGTCTGTCGTAAGGGACTCTTCTTGTTGGGGTTACTTCCCACTGAAATATTTCAGTAGTATTCAATATTATTTTAGGCATTTATGATTTTTGGTGGTAATAAAATATCACCATTTTCCAAAGATCAGACATGTCTTAAAACTTTCCTTTAATTGAAATCCTGTTATTTCGTTAAAAAAGGTTCCAATGGAAAATTTTCCCACAAATTTAGCTGGTTTTTTGTGGTATTCTATGTCCCTTCTGCAGAGCAAGTGGTAGTGCCAGGCTCCTGCACCCACCAGAGATGGGATTTTGAGCTCTGTGTTCAGGCAATTAGGCTGAAGAAAGTAGCTTTACCTTGTAGAGTTGACGAGCAGACATTTGTTGTAGGTCCCTTCCTAATACTGTAGGGAAGTCACCCAAAGGGCCTGCAATGGAATGAAATTCATTTATGATGCAGGCCTGAAAAATCTTAAAGTCCATGTAGCTGTGTAGGAGAGTCTGGTTTAGGGATAGGCAGAGGGCATGTGCCTTTGTTAGCCTTCCTAAACAATGTGATTTCCCACTAGGTATCAAGGCATCCAGAAAAATAAACTGAAAAAGAATGGCCACAACACACATGGCATCAGTTACTCTTTATTTAGCTTTGTTTGTCAGTCACAGCAGCTTTTCCAAAATAATGAGAAGTCTGGTAATTTTGGCACTCTGGGGCATTTTCGTTCTTTTAGCATGGAAGGAATGGAGTTGGGGCCTTTTGTGGTAGGTGCACAGATGTCGTGCTGTCATGTAAAAGTAATACTTCACTCAAACAAATTGTCTTGGTAAGAATCCATGTTTGCTTTTGTTTTGAGGTGAAGGAAGCTTCGCATGAACCACAGATGGTGTTTACAGCTCGTCATGCAGCTATCACTTTCCAGACAGATGGAGAAACATGGAGAGAACAGAAAGAGAAAAAGGCAGCTCTGATGGTTGGCATCTTAATTGGAGTTTTTGTACTGTGCTGGATCCCTTTCTTCATCACAGAATTAATAAGTCCCCTCTGTTCCTGCAACATCCCACCCGTCTGGAAAAGCATCTTTCTTTGGCTTGGCTACTCCAATTCTTTCTTTAATCCTCTCATTTATACAGCATTCAACAAAAACTACAACAATGCCTTCAAGAACCTTTTTGTAAAGCAGAGATAAAAGGGGACACGGAGGAGAAAATGATTCCTTTATTGCATAATACAGATTCTTGAGGGAAGCATGCCTGTGATACGTACAGTTTTCATGCACAAGAGCTACTTGAGGGGATTTTTAGGAACAATGAGAAAGAAGATGGAAGATGTTTGGATATAAACCTACTGACAGTTTATCATTCCCCCTTGGAAATACATATATGCTACAGTAGGGTTTGGCAAAGATTGAAGCAGTGAAACACTCCCGTCTGCTCTTTGAATCAACATGTGTTAAGGTCTGCAAGTGAAGCACTGTACGTGCCTAATGCCATGACTCTCAAATCTAACTGGACTGCTCTTTAACCAGCTACAGGTGCCATTCTGTAGCATCCTCATCATTAGCAAAGGCACCAGTGGGAACTGCTGGTTGAACAACACTGAAATGTTTGTGATATGGGCAGGATGCCAGCTTCATTTTTGAGATTTATGTGGAAGGTAATAAACATGCTGGATTCAATCAGTTGTTGAATTGATGTGAAATTAAAATGGATGACTAAGCAGCTCAAAACCACGCCCTAGTGTGATTGAAGTGCTGTGTGTTCTCCAGCAAGGAGCTAGAGCTTGGTGGGAAGTCTTGGTAAAATACAGGTCAGTTATGTCCCATGGGGTTAAGTGACATTTTAGAGCCAAGTGTAAAATTATTCAGAGCTACTGAGAATCTGCTTGCACTGCTTGTGCAGGAGGCAGATCTAGCATGGAGTTTTCACCTGCATTGTACTCCCTTACTCTGCAGGGTTCAAGCTATCCCTGTTTTCTGAAACCCAAGATAGATGCCCGATACCTCCAAGTACAGGGGGACCGTATGCATTATTATTTCATGTTATCATAAAACTAAGCATCTATTTGTGTTACAAACACCAAACGTTGTATTCAATAGCCAGGTTTGCTGGCAGCAACATGTGGCTGCTCAGCAGTGGTAGGTGAGTATCTACACTGAGCTGTCTGGGGTCCTCGCTCCATAAATGTTGTGCTCCTCACCCTACCTGAGTGAAGCCCACAATTTGCCAGCGTGCATCAACTTCTTCCTACTGTAAGAAGGTACTGATGCCATCATATAAGCAACTCCAGAAACTCCAAAGTGAGTCAAAACTAGGCCTGGAATTGTTTTTCCAAGATCTATCAAACACCCCCGTCCCAAAAATATATATACACACATAAATTAAAAGATAAGTATTTCCATGCGTACTGCCAAGTCTCTCTCTCTGTATTTGTTCCTCCAGTGGGTTTTATTTCCTCCCCTTTCCTGAGGGGGGATGCTGACAGCATCTCTAAGTATTTCTAATGTGGCAGCTTTTTACTGACACAAAGTCCCATCACCCTCTCCCATCTTTTCCTAAAGCTCCTTTAGGTACTGTAAGGACAAAATGTCATAGCTGTAATGGAGCTGGGCAACATCACAACTCCTTTTGAAGCTGAGGTTTGACCTTCTGCACTGCCTTTCTCTGCCAGTTTTGTGTTTTCTGCTGCTCAAGCAACCCTTTGATTCAAAGCCTACCCTCAGGCAAACAGTGCAAAACTGCACAGAATGACTAAAAGTCACGGCTTTCAGCTCCAGCAATATACACCACTGGCATCTTGATTTCACCGCAGCGTATCACACTCAGCCTCCTCTCTGACTGTTACCAAGCTAACGGGCATCGCATCGACGCCAGTGCTGACCCCGAAGCTCCTACCACAGCCCTGGTATCCCGGCAGTCTCTCGCAGGCCCTGGCAGCTAGGTTTATTTCTGTCAGCTGGGGACTGATGGACTCAACAGCCCTGTCAGCAGGGTATTATCAAGCTTGTGTATTCTGAAAAACAAATGATGCAGCCTTTACGTGGTTAGCTTTAAAGGGGAGTTTAGTGCATAAAGTGATTCATGCACCTGCTGATGTCAAATTGAGCTTAATGTCAGGTGTATGGGCAAATTAGACAGGGGCAAGTTCCAGCTCCTTTCTAAATATGTGATTTAAACAAACCATCAAAGCACACGTTCCTCCAGTTCCTTAAGGGAACCACCTGGCCTCACTTCACTAGCACGGTGTATGGTGAGACAGGCGCTGCTGTACTTCACACCCTGCAGTACTGTGACATTCCAGTGTGACCCACTGTGTCTGCAGCCACCGCCACCGGTGTATTTTAGGTACTTGCAGAGGATGCTTCTCCTCTCAGTCTCAGTGGGAATTAGGAAATTTTAATTATCTAGGATTTCAAAGAGCTGTTAGGTCATGGCTCAGGCTTTTAAATGCCAACTTAAATAACTTTTTCCCTTGTGAATCTCAATTTGCCCTCATATAGAATAGCTGCCAGTTCAAACTGAGTTTGGAGGCTTAATTAAACTGGAAGGAAGACACATATGTAAGGCTAAAAGTTACTAAAACCTGCAGGCCTTATTCAGAACCGTCAATGAATTTTTCAAGTGAGTTGGATATTTCATGTAAGAGCCACTGCTCTCAGAACCTTAAAGTCTGAACAGATGACATGGAAGGAGAAAATGAAATGGTCATCTTAAGCTGATTGTTTTAAAGCGTACAAATCTCCTGTGTGTGGCCACTCCTGACATTTCCAACAATCATGTTTTGGCCAAATTTTAGTGCCTGTGCCACATCTGCCTGGTAAGGCAAGCCATTACTAGCATGCCAATCTAATACCAACCCTGTTGCACTGAAGTTACGCAGCAGCAGCCGAGATATTTGTTCCAACTGTATGTGCCAGCAGACTGGAGAAACACCAGGCTCCTGTTCTGGTGCAGGAAACCTTCCAAGAAATGACAGATTTTAGGGTACATTTTACCGTGGCTACGCATCTGGATCTTGAGAAAACACCTTAAAGCCAGAAGAGTACTGTGCACCTCAGCATAGCTGTGCCCTGCGCCGGTATTACTGCCGGTGCTGAAGCTGCCCAGGGCTGTCTGCAGCTAGCTTGAGAACTGGGAGCAGGGCTACTGATGTAGCATACAGTGTAGCTCTCCACCTCCTCAGAGATGAATTTAGCTTCCTTAGGAGGTGAATCTGAGCCTCTGTAATTTTACTGGGAGAAGTTCTCAAGATAACTAGCTTAGTGCTCTGCCCACCCAAGCATCTGTGACAGCAGTGAGTTGTTACAGAATGACAGGCTTCCACTGAAAGCAGCCTGCCTTCATACTCACCCAGAGGCGACGAGAAACAAGCAGAGCTCTCATTTTGCTACAGTGCAGTTTTAGAAAGCTCTTCACAAAATCGGCTTCCCACACTGGCTCTGTGCATGTCTGCCTTTAGAAGAGCAGCAGCACATATTCAGGATTTAAAATGCTGGATTTTAGTCATATGGAATCTGATCTTACTGTGGGGGAAAAGACATACATTATCTGAGGTTATGGCCTAACCTGCTGGATGCTGCTTCCCACTTGAAGCCAGAAAAGGCATTGCCAAGCCCTGGCCTTCTGCACAGCAAGCAGAGATTTACCCACGGATTTTTGTGCCAAACCCAGGCACTTGGTGCAGTGGGAGCATAACTACTGGATAGTCATCAACCGTGATTAAAAATAGTTGGAACTGTGGATAATTGTCTACCTCCCTTGGTACCTTATTTCTTTGATTAATTACTCCAATTATTAAAACTTGCAACTTTATTTTAATTGAAAAAAAGAGGAAAATCAAGCATGCAAGCATTAGAGTTTAGATCTTACATTATTGCTCTGTTACCCTTGTCTTCAAGACAGACCAAAGAAAATATGGAAAATACAACTCCCATGTGAACTAAGATAAATGATATAGTATCTTCAATATCCAAATAGAAAAAAAAAACAAACCAAAACATCTGCTATTCTAAAGAAACATCATTTGGCAGTGCTTAGATATATGGTCATTTATTTCCTCAAATAGAAGTTGCCAGTTTGGGTTACACCAGTCACCTCTGCTTGTACACCATGGACTGCTAGTTTTAATTTTATTTCCTGACACTGAATCTGCTCTTAGAAAAACTCACAGGAGACTGTTGCTCAGCAGAAAGGCATTGCTGTATCCTGCAGCAAGGCTCTGAGAACCCTGCAGCTGTATTAAAATTGAGGCCTCAGTTTGTTGTGCTGCTGGAATCCAGATTGTGCAGAAATTAAGGAGCTTTGAAAGATGAATGTTAACAGAAAATGTTAATAGCTTTCTAAGCTCCTCACTCCAGAAGACTCACATCCATGCTATAGCCTCCTTCATGAAAGCTCTTCAGTAATTTATTATCGTACCCAGGAGTTCCCGATCTTTCAACTGTACTTCAGTCTCTCCTTCTAAATAGCTGTTTTTCATGAGAATTCCCAAGCCCTTCCTACATGAAGATTGATGGAAAAAGAGGTGAGGGGTTTGGCCCTGAGAATACACACTTACGGTGGATCCCCTGTGAGCAGTACCTCGTCAGCTGGCCTACACCAGTCACCAGGTACGAGGAGCAGCTGATGGCGGGAAGGTGCTGCTGGGCGAGACGTGGGCACCAGTGCTGCCTGGCGAGTGGGGGGAGGAGCTGGCACCCAGAGCCTCAGCGGCTCGGGCACTGGCTGGCCGAGCTCACCCAGGCTGCAGCCGTGGCTGTGTGGATACTGCAGGAATAGACACGCTTGTGTTCATACATTTTTTTAGATAAGACTACCATAAGAGTCTGTCATCCACCACCCAAACGAGTCAGATTTGCATACCACCTTGCACGTGTGCCCTGCTTACATGTGGAATTTAGCAACACTGGCTCTGAGGAGGTGGGTGTACCAGCAAAGCACAATTCCCCAGCTGTCTGGTTTGCATAAGTACCAGCAGCTATACAACGTGGGACCTAAAGCAAGTAATACCCTTTCTCTCATACAAGCAATTTTATGTTTCTAAAGAAATTCAGCAAAGTTTTGCTATGTCCTATAGGGCTGGACATACCTGTACCATAGCATCTCTGGAGAATAAAGAGTACAGCCTTCCCCTTTGTCACACAGTAAAATGCTTTTGCATGCCATACATGAAATACTGTTTGGTTCAGGAACCTACACACTAAGGTCACACTTCAATAAGCAGATTTTTCATGAAATGGAGAGGAAGAAGGGAAGAAACCTTAAAAAAAAAATTGGTCACATTTTAACTTGCCTTCAAAGATTTTCTTTTACTCAAATCAGTGGTAACAGTGCAGTACTCCATTCATTTTGATATACTGTAACAAAAAGATTGTCTGGATTTTGTCATGCTTGAATTAAGCCTAAGTCACTAATTTCACTCTCAAAAGGTATTTTACAAGTGCACTTGTGGAACTGCATTTAAAGAAAGCTGTCACAGTCTAAAAGGTGTGTGCCTGAGGTTCAGAGACTGTATCAGCTTCTGAAACAAACAGCAGACTTACTTGACAGCAGAGTATTCATCGGCATATCAAAATAATTAGATTTATTGAAATGCAAATTAAAGCTCTGAGCAGGCTCTATCAACTAAAAAAAAAGTTTTACTACAAGTCCTGTAAATGTTATTTTACAAACCTGGTAACATCAAATGAATTCAGGGAAAGATTTCTTTAAACAGTCAAAGAAATCCAGCAATGCTGAGGTGAAATTCTGGGAAATTCTTACCTCCCCTCTTGCAGCCAGCTGAAATAGAGAATTAAGAGATTCTGCTTGCTATATGTTTGTGTAGTCCTTCGCATACACACATCTACACTCTCATAATTTAACACCTCCGCTGCATAGCTCCAGTCACCAAACTCTGGGCATTAAAAAAAACCCAAGTTTAATTCTGTACATAAAAAAATTAATGTAGTAATTATGCAAAAGACTTAAATCTCCAGCAAAGACACAGCATATATGGAAGCTTATTCACTTAAAGAAAATAACCACTTTAAAGCACTGCCCTCCTTTGAAAACCCTACTTAGAAGTTACCTCCTGACACTGCTCTTCACTTTTACAAATAGCTCTCATCATTTTACTGAAAGCCAAAATTAACTGAGTTGTTTCTGTTTAGCAGGATTGTCATGTTTGTAGTGTCAAAGCATCCTGGGTACAGTTCCCCAAAATCACCTTCCCATGAGTAGCCATAGCTTGGTCCTTGTTCCTCCATGCTAAACCTGACTGGGGCCAGCCTGATCTAGTGGTTAAGCCTGGCAGTCAGCAAGTTAAGCAGAAGGAGGAAGGAAGTTGGCACTACAGAACTGCCTCTTTCATTTTGGTTCCTCCCCAGGTATTAGAAGAAACTGTTCCCCAAACATATACAGCCT